GGACACTCTTGTAGGACACTCTTGTGGGACACTCTGTGGGACACTCTGTGGGACACTCTTGTAGGACACTCTTGTGGGTCACTCTTGTGGGACACTCTGTGGGACACTCTTGTAGGACACTCTTGTGGGTCACTCTTGTGGGACACTCTTGTGGGTCACTCTTGTAGGAAACTCTTGTGGGGCACTCTTGTAGGACACTCTTGTGGGACACTCTGTGGGACACTCTTGTAGGACTTGTAGGACACTCTTGTGGGACACTCTTGTGGGACACTCTAGTGGGACACTGTTGTGGGACAGTCTTGTAGGACACTCTTGTGGGACACTCTTGTAGGACACTCTTGTGGGTCACTTGCAGGACACTCTTGTGGGACACTCTTACACGACACTCTTGTAGGACACTCTTGTGGGTCGTGGGACACTCTTGTGGGACACTCTTGTAGGATACTCTTGTGGGACAGTCTTGTGGGACACTCTTGTGGGACACTCTACTACAAAGTCGCCAGTTCTCAGCTTCCAGCTCCACAGATTGCTCCGCGTACTAAAGTTGTACCACAAAGTCGCCAGTTCTCAGCTTCCAGCTCCACAGATTGCTCCGCGTACTAAAGTTGTACTACCAAGTCACCAGTTCTCATCTTCCAGCTCGCCAGATACCCCGCGTACTAAAGTCGTACTACAAAGTCGCCAGTGCTCGCCTGCACTTCGCGCGCTCGACACGCAGGATCTCCGCAGAGGGTTGCGCGGGCACCGGACAAATCGCACTCTCGCCTGCATTTCGCGCACTCGACACGCACTATCTCCGCAGAGGGTTGCGCGGGCACCGGACAAATCGCACTCTCGCCTGCATTTCGCGCACTCGACGTGCGCGATCTCCGCAGAGGGTTGCCCGCGCATGGGACAAATCGCGCTCTCGCCTGCATTTCGCACACTCGACACGCGTGATCTCTGCAGAGGGTTGCGCGTCAAGTCTCCAAAGCGAGCGTTTCGTACGAGACTTCCTCAAAAACTCACGTCAAAGTCTGCAAAACGAGCGTTTCGTACGAGACTTCCTCCAAAAGTCAAGCGGAAACACCCATCGGAGCACACGCATCACGCAGCCCTGCCAAGCAGTTTCGCGATTCCAGCCCCTCCAAACAACATCCGCTCACATGCCAATCCCAATGTGACAGCGACATTCACCTCTACCACAACTCACAACCTCACGATTCCTTGCGCCCGCCACGAATCTTTCCCCATCCACACGTCTAACGCGCACAAAGTACTGCACCTGCCACGAAATGTCACCTCCCTCACACCTCGCAGCCTCACGATTCCCTGCGCCTGCCACGAGAATCGCACTTCCACGCCTCAAAACCCGCACAAAGTCCTGCGCTTGCCACGAAAAGTGACAATATCATCTCATGTGAGCTTCAACAAAATTTGCACCACACCACACGTTTGGAATGATTTCGACCCGTTCTGAGCACACTGCCATCCACCAAAATCGCCATTTCAGCTGAGACTTGTCACGAAAACCGAGCTTCGCTGCCACACCCTGAAACGCAAATCCCAATGGCACGGCCACATCCAACACCCCAAAAACACGACTCTCCAAACGCTAATCCCAATGGAACTGCGCAGCAAACTGCAGATCTCACAAAACGCTGCGCCTGTGCAGTGAAATGCATCACGTTTCTTGCGCGACATGTCCTTGTCATGCAAATCCCAATGGAATAGCGGCGCAAACTGACACGTGACACATCCATGAAAAGTTACTTGCAAAAGCTTCCCCCAATGGCAGCAAATTTGAGACGCGACGACGACGACAGACGACGACAAACGACGACAAACGACGACACGACGCAAGCCATGCAAACACAGCTCCAACCCCCAGACCCCCAACTATAAACGGGAACCCTTCGCTACGCATTCGGGAAAAAAATGTCCTTTTTAATACCAAAACATGAACCATGACCAGCTCGGGTTTGGTCGGAAGGTCCTTGCAACCCCCACCTGCTTCCGGGCCTTTCGGCCACGCTCCAGCGCTTGCACTTTTGTGGCTGCCTGGGGCAAAGTGCGGCTTCATCTGCAAACCAAGTTCGGCTTCATGGTGGCACCACCTGTGCGCTCCCCCCATTGTCAATACTCTTGTTGAGTCCTTGATTGAACAAGCACTTACAATGGCTTACTGTAGCTACTCAACTCTTCTTCTACACTCGTGCCCTCGTTCTCAAAGCCCTGCCCTGCTTCATGTTCTCATGTTCCGTGCCTGCTCCATTTGTTGCCGCATCTCGACAGCGCTGGGGTCCTACATCGAACAGATTGGATGTGCTCACCGGGTCGCAGACTTCAATGCACCTTCAGATGCATGAGGCCCCTGGGCGCGTCGATGGTTCCTGTCGCCAAGCGCTTCGGGCGTTGTCAGTCGGCACAGCTCTTGTGCTCTTGGCTTCTGACCCAATGCATTCAAGTGCATCTCTCCCTTCTCTTGATTTGGAAGGATGCACACATTGCTAAAGTCGGCAAAAGCCTGCATGACAAACAGTCAAAGCAGTGAAGCGGAAAAGGGCGGCAGAAAAGCTGGAAAGACTGACACTTGCCACCTGTCACAGTCAAGAAGTTCCAGCTGTACCATCTGGATTCACACAAGTGTCTCTGCATACTCCCTCCCTCCATGTTGCCTTGGCAATATCGACATGCCTTGCAAACGCAGGGGAAGGGATTTGGAGTTGGATTTGTGTAAGTAATCTCCATGCACTGCATGTTCACATAGTTCACATCCAAGTTGAAGGCCTGGTAGTACACTCGAGGCTCACCTTCTCTTCCGCATTGCGGCTCGGTGAGGCCAAAGCAGCGGCACGGCCTGTAAGCTTTGCGCTGACACGGCTGTGGCGAAGTCGGCCAGCGAAGCTCTCTCCTATTTCAGCTGATGTGTTTTGTGACACTGTGAGGTGCTTGAGTTGCCAAGCTTGCTAAGACCCCTGCATTGGGCTTTGTACCTTTCTGTGTCTGCCATACTTTGGCCCATTTTCCTCGCAGGCTTAAAAGTACTAAAGCAAGGGGACAAGCTTTACCAAGGAAGTGCGGCCTGAAGAAGTTGGTACTATTGAGATTCCCAGCGTTCCACCTCACTGTCATGAGCAAGGGGCAGAACAACTGTTCGTTATCGTGTGCCATCTTCATCTGAGATCTTGACCTCTTGAAGCGCTCCTCTTCTTCCCTCCTCTTTGCTTGGGCCCTTGGTCTCAAAGCGTACTGACTCCCCAGCGGTCACGCATGTCTTTACAAGCCTGTAAAGCTTGTGGTCTACACACTAATTACTGGGTAAACGGATGTAAATGGTCAGGTCCCAATCTTGGTGAAGGCCACAAAGGATTCCCTCCTTCTGGCCTACGGTACCCCTCATAGAGGTTTATGGTGTTGATGGTGTTGTGTTGAATCTAATCTGCTGGTGAGCATCTAGTCGGTGAAAGGGGAATCCCCATAAGTGCTGATTCTTAGGATATCTGAAACATCAATTTCCACTAGCACATGAAGTTGCTGAGTCTCCAGACTTTGATGCCTCAACAAGGGACACAGACCATCGGGCAGAATCCGGGATTGCATCCCTGAACAAAGTGCCAAGGCGAAGAAACCAACAGAATGAATGCCCACTGCAAGCTGCAACTGTTACTGTCCACCAATCTTGCTAATGCACTGACTTCAGCCTGAACGTCAGCTTTCACAAAGCCAAAATCAGGGAGCTTGCATGACCAGCTCTTACACAATCCAGCGCCTTGGCCTTGCTAAGGACATGGACGCAAAGGGCAGTGGCTTTGCCTGAGCAGTTTAGAAATTCAGAAATAAGGGCATCAACAAAGTGGTGCCCAAAAGTAGGCAACTAATTACAATTCTTTTGTCCATTGGGTAGTTTGAAAGGTGTCTTTTCCGTAGATGTGAGTAAATTTTAAAGCACATCACCCGACCGCATTTTTCTGATCGGCCTGCTTGCCCTCCTTTGCCCAGCGTCCCCCCTGTGCTTGAAGGAAGCGGCGGGGGCAAGGTGGTCCGTAGATTGTTCTTCGCTGTGGAGTGACCAGGCAGTTTCAGATTGCTAACATCGAACCATGCTGTCCACCCTCCGACACTTGCATCAGTTTAGGTGTCAAGCTGAAACCACACATGAGCAGTCAAAATGTTCATTGACTTTCATTCATATTCTGATATTCTGAATGTTCTGCAAGCCTGAAGTCTCAATGAATCTCAATGGGGCATTATGCACCCCCACCCATGACTCAACGTTCTTGCTGAAGTGTATTAGCTTCAGAAGGAGTCCTTGTGCAAGTTACACAAGTTATTGCAGGAGGCGGACAAATACAGAGCTGCTGAAGCTGCCAAACCGGGCAAACTTCAGTCAGCAACAGCAGCCAAACAATCATTCACCGCAAAGCTTTCAGCATTCGCCTTTTCCCTTGCGCTTTCTTTGACTATCCATGGTTCTCCTTATGTACATTCCTTCGCGAAGGAAAGAAGACATGGCAAACAGTGTCCGAAGACCTTCACGACGCTTGTCGCGGTCTTCTTTTCGATCTTTGGCTCTTAGCTGAGCAAAGCCAAAACTGTTCCGGCCCGATGCGCCACCTCTTTCTCAAATAGGACACGTCTCTTCATCCATCGTTTGCTCCAAACATGCTTGCCTTCGGCTCACTTTGGCCAGGTCCAAGCTCCATCAGGACGCTGGGGGAATCCTGCCAACAATAATTCTAGAGTTCCAGCATCGTTCAACGGTTGGCAACTATATTGCGGTTTAAGAAAACCAAACGCTTTCCAGTCGTTCCTGTCATAGGACAACAGCTCACACACTCACACACAAGCACGAATCCCATGCCGCGGTGTCCTTGAGGCCCCATGGCACCCCTGAGACTATCAGAACAAAATCAAAACACCTCCCTTTGACTCTCCCTCTCCCTCTCTCTCACACTTCAGCATTGGAGCATTGTGTGCAGTCTCTGACCCATTGAAATCATTGAAAAGCAAGCAGGTGCGTCAAGATCAACTGACACCGACATGCGGCCGTCATTGTGCTGCACATCTTTGGGACAGCGGCCATCCGAATCCTCTGTTTGGCACCTGAAACTAAACACAACCAGTTCGTGCTGGTGTCTTCATTCCTTTTCCACTTGCTGCAACAATGGGCACAGCAAGAAAAGTGTTGACGTCTTGGAATCCTGCATCCATGAATCCAGAGTTTACAGAGGGTGTCCTGTCCTCTGAGGTTTTCCTTCTGAGGGCTGATTGAACAAGTTCTGAGCTTCAGACGGCTGGTGCACCAGCACCCGCACCCAGTGTGGGTGCAGGTGGAAAGAGCTTTGCTAACGCCTCGAGGACGAGGAAATCGTTCACACACTAGGCTTTGGCAACCAGTGCTGTTTACCCTATTTGTTCGCCATCCCGTACCTCATCACCAGACATCTGTGAGGTATGTGGAGACCTTGCACTTGGACATGCGGAAGAATTGCTTGAGTCTATGGACACTTCACTGCAGAACACTTGGAGCTCGCCTGCCGGCTATATTATAGAATACATCTCTTTGTGTTCAAGCACACTACAATGGATTAACATGTCCCGGCTGCAGGACTCCTGTCCTTTCTGGAAGAACCCTCCCGGGTTCTCTACAGTCCAAGGTCTTTGTAATCATGTAGAATCCACTGCGCCCTAAATAAGTTGCAAGGTCAGATGAGTCAGAAGCATCTGGTGGAAATTGGTAAGCCACGGTGGCTACTGTAGGATATTTATTTGACACCGAGGCCACCGACGGCAAACCAGGCCCGCCATCGAACTGAGAGGTGCAAAGGAGGTGCAAAGATGCAGAGGCACAGCGAATTCTCAAAGAAACTATCTGTCCAAATCTTTATTATCCGGAAACAATGTCGCAAGACCAACAGAAGTTTCTGAAACTTTAGGCACATACGACCTATCCGGAGGCACTCCTCAGTGCAAAGTTCTACAAACATGTTGAAACGTGGAGAAGGTTATAAATATATATATATAAAGTGTCATTGTGAGGTAAGGCCAAGGAGTCCAAACCCTCCAAAGACATGTCCAGACTGCAAACAGTGGGTTAACAACTCAGGATTCTGGGATTCTAGCAGCCCAAACGCTTGGTGAACAAAAGGACAGCATACAGAACCTACGCACAAAATAACCCCACCGTCAGCCATCAATGCCTGGAGCTTTCTGGCCAAATCCATGACTCGCTCTCGTTCCTCACACCAATGGCAACCATCTTGTAGACACGAGGAAAGAGCCTGTATCATCTCATGTTGATCAGTCTTTGCTCTGAATCCTTGTTGATCACGATGTACCAAGCAATGAATGGGCACCTCATTAGCAGGACTGGTTTCTATCATTGGTGAAATAAGTCCTCTTCACAGGCATTTGCGTGGCTTCTTTGGCAAATGCAACACAAGTTGAATCACATGGTGCGAACGAAGAAAAAGAAGAACCCTACCACGATGTTGCATCTCAGGCACACGGTGACACCGAAGGTTGTCCAAAGGCCTCTTCTCTTAAAAGCCATCTGCCTGCACAACCGAAGGCTGTCCAAAAGAGTTAGACTTCACCGTCTCAACTCACTTTCCCCGGCGGCCTGGCAAGGCCATAGAAACCAATTCCACCAAGTAAGGCAGCTGAGCCGGCGGCGACAGAGATGCGCCGGCCAAACCTAGGATGACACATCAAGAGTTCTGCAAAATCACTGAGAGGCTTTGGGCTTTGGCCTTGACCTTTCTGTTTCTTCGAACTACACCCAAGTTGGTGGCAAGAACTGTTTCCTTCAACTCTTCAGCTTTTGGCTTAATGTGCAGGTCAGCTTGCCCATATAGGAGAAGGAAAGTCTTTTTCAAACAGTCTTCAGCTACGGGATCACTTTTGCCCAAAGCCCAAAACACCTCCTTTCCACATCGCTGAGTCAGAAGCTCATCGAGAAAGGCCCGATCCTACAGGCGTAGAAGATTCTGCAAAGTCTAAAATAACCCAAAACTCACTATTAGGGTGGAGGTCATCGCTAGACATCGCTAGTAGGTTGGAGGCCATCGCTATTGCAGTAGGTTCCCTAAAGTCTTTTTCGCAAAGTCCACGGATGCTGTGGATGCTTTGTTGCCAAAACTCCCAATCCGATGGATCCAAATCCGGCGTTGCCTCCAAGGACAGCTGGGGTGGCTGTAGGTCAGTCTCACCTGCTCTGACCATCCACTGCAGCGAAATGGGACTTTCCAGCACACATCACCACACCTGGATCTCCAACAGAAACAGGAGCTTGTAGAGCTTCTGGAGCTTTTCTTTCCATACTCTCCAAAGCAAGAAGACTAACGAAGCACACTATCAAATGTCTCTTTCTGTGGAGGCTTGGTCTGCGTGTTTCGAAAATATGAGTGGGTAGAGCATACAGAGCTGTTTGCATGTGCCGCAAGAGCTCGAGCCACAGCCGTGTTTGTTTGGTGTGTATTTTCCTACATACATCCAAGTACCCAATATTTATGCTCTTAGGCAGTCCGAGAACGGACCAAGCCCACAATCACATGCGATCACACATGGAATCAGGCACGCTGCACCAATGACCAGCTTTTTGGCAGACAGGAAGGCACTGTGCTCTTGTTTCTCGCTTTCCAGCTGTTCTTGTTGATATGAAGGAGCCTGGCAAGCAGGTGACGGGGTAGTTGATCTCTCATGGCAAGTTTATGCAGCTCCACTGAAAACTAGGCTCCAACAGGTTTGGCCATCCAACTCGCCCTGCATTGAAACCTAATAATGCATCCTAAAACTACAACCAAGTAGAACTGAGTGTCTCTCAAAGCCTGAGAACACATGAAGACATGTCCAACGGCCGAGTCGGTTTGCAGCGCAGGTCATCCAGCTCATATCCGTGCAGCTTGCATACCACCATTCTTTTGCGCCGCATTTTGGGAGATGTCGATCTATGTCGAATATATGTATATACAGTACATATAATACATATCATATACCTGTGTTTTTGAGCAGTGCTGCAAATGTCGAAAATTTGCTGGCAAGACACCTCCGATCTTGAGGTTTGAAGAAGCATGATATTGAGTACGCTCAGATTCAAATCCTTCACTTGGTCAAATCAAGCTGGAAGGTTTCGGACAGGTTGGAGGTCATTGCTATTAGTTGACGAGTAGAGGTGGTGTCTGGTGGTAGAGTGGCGGTACGCAATTGCGGGGAAGATGTAATGTCTGGAGAGCCTGCTGTTCTGCTAAATCCTGCACAGCTTCGAATTCCATGCAAGAGCAAATGTGAGGCCCGCCTTCCTGGCAGTTCAAATGAAAAGCACCTCCATTGGAAGACTTACACTAAATACACTCAATATGATACAAGGAGAGTTCTTCCATGCCATGAGAGTGAGGCCTGATTGGTTGAGCCGTTGCTGCTTGGCCATCCCAGATTGGGATGGTTCCCAGCAACGTGGCAACCGTCGCCTACTAGTTCGGATCAAACAACGGAAGCCTGTGCATGCCCGCGTCCGCACTCGATAAACATGTCTGAAGTGCATGCAACCCTGTTTAGGCTTCTTCACCCGATGAAACAGCGAATGTGGGCGCGGTCCAAACCTGAAAAAATTAGAGTGAAAGAGCTTGTTCCTAGTAGCGATGCCAGGAGCCGCTAGTAGCGTCCTTGCTCCTAGTAGCGATGCCCTTTGCTCCTTGTAGCTTCTTGTTCCTAGTAGTAAGAATGCTCCTACGCCAGGAGCCCCCTAGTAGCGATGCCCTTGCTCCTAGTAGCGTCCTTGCTCCTAGTGTGAAAGAGCAGTCCCAGCCAAAGTTTCGCTCAAGGATCCTGAGGTCCTTGCTCTTCCACAGCACATTTACCACAATGCTTCGCATTGCACATGACCATGAGAGGTCATCCCAAGGAAAGGCCGTCATGGTATTCATGAGACGAGAGGAAATTACCGCACAAAATATCCAACCCGCAATGGTCTTCATTGCGGAAGATAGGCAGAAGCCGCAAAGGCGCCTTAATATTTGCCTGCGTCCCCAAGCGAATCAATCTCAATTAAAGGTCCCAAAAGGTCAAACGTGATCTGTCAACTCATCTTGACTGATATATACATATATATATACATATATACATATATATATATATACGTATATATATATATACTGTATATTACTCTATATATTGCACACTGGATTGCACACCAATGGACCCTGCAAACCAGCCTTTTCCTTTGCCTTTCATCGTCTTGAAGGCTTTGCCTCCTTTGCTTCCTTTGGCGCTGCCTTTGCCAACCTTGCCCAGGTCTTTTCCTCCTTTCTGCATGCCTTTGCCATAGCTGGCATAGCCAGCATAACTGCTATTTCCTTTGCCATAAGAGCCTTTTCCTCCAGTTGTCTTGTGTGTCCTTTTCTGCCTGCAAGAAAGAATGAAACCTCATACTTCGAACCAGAAGGGTGGTATGTCAGGGGCAGTTCTGCCGTCTTATGTATGGAAACCCTGAAATCTCCATCTTTATATGTGACCAGGGCGCAAATACATAGTTATTCGAGAAGGACGTTGTTGTGCATTGTTAGACCAAGGCATGCAAAGAAGGCACATGGCACGTGTTGATATGGGAATTGTGAAGGACAGGAGGTAGGCTATCTTGGAGTAGACAACAATGTTGCGCAGGGGTTGCTGAATTGAATCTCCATAAGTTGCTGAATCCGTTGTGATCCTGTTGCCACAAGCCCCGTAGTCATGAAGTATTCATATATGTCTACTTTTACACACGCCTATACAGAGTACAAAGAACGGCACTTTCCGATACAAAGTCCTGCAAAGAAACAGTAGATCAACCCAAGACCAAGCAACCTGCTGCGCTTGACTGTGCAATTGCTGTTCAAGACCGAGTAAGCCTCGAGTCCTTGGGCTGCGCTTAGGCAAGCCAAACTCAGCTCTCCAGCCTCCACTCTTCTGCAGCAGCTTCAACCTGTCGCCTACATAATTGCAAGTAGAGCTGGCAATATGCAGCCAGCACACAAATCACTATGTATCATCTGCGAACAAAGCAAATCCGGCTGCGCCTTCTTTCCTCTTTTCTTCTCTCCTCTTTCGGGTCCTGTAAAATCCCTCAAAATCACCTCTCCAGACACGTTGGACACGAGCCACCGTTTCATCGTGTTGTGTTGGTCGGTGTTTCTTGTTCGTGAGTTAAGGCCTGCTTTTTTGGTAGAAACAAGTCCGACTTGTGTGTGCCTGTGTGTGTCCTATGTGTGTTTTTTCGCGCCAGCTGAGCACTCCAGCTGCGCCAGCTGCGTGTCAACCGAGGGTCCTCGACCCGCGCATCCCAGTCTTCAGACCTCGACTCGCCCAGGCCGAACCACCGCGCAGGACCACGTGGAGTCACATGGGGAAAGGAGTTGATTTGGGATGCTCTTTTATCCAAAGCTGTCCTGCATTCAAGAGACTCCCAATAATCATCAGGTGACCAGGTCTCCCAACCTGGAGTGGGAGAAATCAGAGGTCAGACCATCCAATGGAGAGATGCTGAGTAACTCAGACTTCTTTTCAAAAGAACCCGCTCAAACCTTGGCACGTTTTTCTCTCAACGTGCTCATCGCCGCGAGAAACGAGCATCACAGCCGCTCGGAGAAACGAGTGAAGCTGCCGTGTTCGGGGTGAAACCGTTCGCCGAGCAGTTCACTACAGCAACACATTGACGCTATTCTTCGAATGGGTTTGACTTGTTCTGGATATTCATATGAAAATCGCTTCTAGGATGGAGGCCAGCTCGCTAGTAGCTTGGAAGCCATTCCTTTTACAGTATGGATACTTGTAGATTTTTGATCTTCTACATGTCTGCTCATGTCTCATCACCATTCACTGACAAAGGCTCGCCGTTATTTCCACTGCCCCTCCCGGTCCCAGTGATCAGTCCGATCCCATGAATCACTTGCTTGTGCTGCGTCGCGGCGTGCCTGGCAGGCATCTGTTTTCTTCGGCTGCCGGGCATTTGTCGGCGGAAAAAAAAAATCTGAATTGTACACGACGTTCACTTTCTGAGGTGAGCCTGATAACAGGTAGTTTGCTGAAAAGTTAGCCACGTTTTAAAATCCCTTTTGCATCTGGTCTGTGATGCTGGCCTTCTCATGCTTAGCAATTCGATGGAAGGCTGTGACCACCTGGGTCCATTGAAGGTCTAGTGTCTAGATATTTTGCAAGTATAAGAATTAAACATAGATATATGTATACCTGAGAAAGGAGAGGACGAAAGCCAGCGAGAGACCAATATGGTAATGCAAGACTGGGAAGAAAAAATAGCGAAGCACTTATTGTTGAATGCCTGTAGCTTTCGTGGAGCTTGTATCAACGTGGAGTAGATCAAGATCGGAGCACAGCATGGAGTGTTGAATGTTTTAGGTTTTCTCGATTTTCCTGGCGCGGTGCTCTCTGGAGCGCCCCTGTTTGGTGGTCTATTTGAGAATCCGGGAAAAAGAAACGTCAGTGCTGTTGGGGACTTTACTTGGGCTTATGCCACTGATCCGCCCAAAATATAACCATAAGTCGCGGCTACACCTCTTTCCCAGAGACATGGAGACACAGAACCATAGAGACATAGAGACAGAAAACACAGAGACATAAAACAAACACAGAGAAGTAGCTATCTACACGGGGTCCTTTTCTGATAGCAATTTGTCGCTGCCAACCAACTAGCATACTTGCCCCAAGACATCCAAGCAGACTTCTCTGAAAGGATGACTAGGAGGATGGCAGGAACTATATGCCTCAGCATTGGTGTCACCAACCGTCATCCAAAAATATTGCATAGATCCGTGACTATAACCCATCCTCAAACAGCAATCTCTTCACCCCACCAAGTTGCTATCTACACGGGCCCCTTTTACTCGTCGCTGCCAACCAACTACCATACTGGCCCCAATACATCCAAGCAGTTCCACTTTGAAGCAATCATCATTCCCCAACAGCGAAGCGTAGGGGTCTTCTGCCATAGGAAAGACTTCGGAGCAGACTCAGAGCGAGCTTCGGAGCAGGTTCCGGACGAGGTTCCGCAGCGGATCTGGAGGAGGTGCGGCAAACGGTTCCGGAGCAGTTTCCGGAGAAGATTCCGGGGCAGGTTCCAGAGAAGGTTCGGGAGAAGGTTGCGGGGCAGGTCCATGAGGAGGTTCTGGAGAAGGTTCCGGAGCAGGTTCGAAAGCAGACAAGGCTCCAGAGGAGGGCTTGCACAGCGAAGAGACTTTCCCAGTGGCGCTTCGTGCTGTTGGGGACTTTACTTGCGCTTATGCCACTGATCCGCCCAAAATATAACCATAAGTCGCGGCTACACCTCTCTTCCCAGAGACATGGAGACACAGAACCATAGAGACATAGAGACAGAAAACACAGAGACAAAAAACACAGAGAAGTAGCTATCTACACGGGGTCCTTTTCTGATAGCAATTTGTCGCTGCCAACCAACTACCATACTAGCACCAATACATCCAACCAGACTTCTCTGAAAGGATGACTAGGAGGATGGCAGGAACTATATGCCTCAGCATTGGTGTCACCAACCGTCATCCAAAAATATTGCATAGATCCGTGACTATAACCTTGAGAGCTTGACTCAAGAGATGGGGCGCAGGATGTCCAAGGTTTTGGCGTGCTTTAGGTTCCTCATACCTTTGCGTGCACGCTGACGTGTCTCACCGTTTGCAGGGAGTTCCCAGAACCATCTCGCTGCCTGCGCAAGTGCGCGCAACGAGGATTCCAAAGCTCGAAACGGCTACATGGTTCAACAACAGCAAATGGCCAAACCGTGCATTGACTGTATTGACCCGAAAAGTCGAGCCACCACTGTGAACATAGCCGCACAGCCGTTACTGCACAGCCATTATTGAACCAAGCATTTTACAGGTCAGTATGGGACTTCCAGGGTTGGTGGATAAACTCCTGCACCAGCCACTCTGCGACACGGCTTCGGCCAAGACTGCCCTGCTTCCCCACTATCTATCTATCAAACCAGCTCTATCTATCTATCTATCTATCTACTATCTATCTATCTATCTATCTATCTATCTATCTATCTATCTACTATCGATCTATCTATCTATTCTGTACCATCTAGCTGCGCGGCCAAGCCGGAACAACGTTCGGTGCACGTGGACGCCGCGAGAAGCATCCGGTCGACGGCACAGGTATAGTAGAGACTAGGATGGCTGCTCTGTACATGGGTGCCTGTCTCCACTCCCGTGCTCAATGCCCATTGTCCAACTAGCATTCACAGCCCTTCGTGATGTTACTGATGCACTACTCGGCGTCCATTGCATCACTCGCATCACCAGACCCCATTTTCACTGCTTTTTCTGGAGCGCTCTCCCCAGGCAAGCTCTGGGTTCACCCTCTCAAATGGTGCCTTTTCGCGGCCTACCCCCCCCCCACACCCCCTTTACTCACTTCGTTCGGTCTAAGACTTTAAGAGCTCAAGCCTAGCCTATCGGCTGGCTTTCGTAATATACCGTATTTTGTATCATTCTGCATGATCAGCAAAAAAAATGATGTCTTTCGTCTGTAGGGTCGCTGCGTTGATCTCATTAAACTCCGGCAATTTGGCATCGCAAAGCTTAAGGATCTCTTCAGCGTTCTGACACGCTAGAATCTCCTGGGAAATGAAAACATGGGTTTTCAACGACTCTGAGGCTCTCAGGAACCCGATGCGAAAATTGCCACAAAACATGCACATACAGGTGATTCACCTCTTCAGTCTAATGGCTTTCATGCTTATAATGACACCTTTCCGGCACAGCATCACTCCTTGTTGATATTGAAGTTTCTCCTGCGTTGATACATTGTGGAGCAAAAACCAAGACTCTCTCATTCTTGCTACAGTGCTACAGTCTCTCATTCTTGTGCTGTTGTGGCGTTTGCTTCCTCTTTTCAGTGGCGTTCGGGCCGTTCGGGCCAAACCGTGACGCCTGAAGCACGACAGTCGCGACACAGTGAGGAAAACAATTACAGTAGTGCTCTGTCCAAGTTCTACTAGGGGTGTAGGCCTGCTACTGCGACTGATCAAGTGTATTCTCATCCAAACATGTCTTGTAAATGCAGGAGCAAATTCGCAAACAGTCCCTTCCCAGGACGGACTGTTTGCAAGTGCCTTGCTCAATGCATGAAGCTATGCGAACCGAAAACAAGCTAACAGTAAGAGCAAAATTTGAGTAATATGAGTAGATCATCACCGCCGTTCTGGCGCCTCCTGCCGTCTCGCAGGTTTCTCTTGCCCACCTCAGACCGTTTAGACCTCTTCCCACTTGATCATGGAGCTACATGTGTCCAACGTGAACATCTGATGTCAGTCAGAGCTGCCACAAGTCTGTCTGCAAAACAAATGCACTAATAAGATATAACATATGTCCATGCTGCCTCTGCTCGTCTTTTATGAGAACTGCACCATTGGGTGTAGTCTCTGGGACACCTCGATACCCATGTTTCGCAACGCTGTCTCTTCTTGGCAGCGCAAGAAGAGATTTCCTTCCGCAGCGGAATTCTACACAAGGAACCTGTTGGCAAACTATCCGCTTGAATCGTCTTGAACGTGATGGCATGTACCTACTCCAAGCGCAGATAGCCCACTGTATCATTGTGTCGTAATTGTTGTGTGAGCGCAGTGCAATTGTTTGATAATTGCGGGTCGACGAAACGTGTTTCTTTTTCAACTTGTGCTGCATGTGCATATGCACACATGCACGATAATTGCTAGGCACCGCTGGGTGCCACATGCTGCGGCCCAATGACTGTGACTAGTGGATACTGTCCCTTCCAGTCCCTCTACACACGTGTGCCATCTACACATCAAGAACTCAAAAGGAAAGGGCAACGGGTGTTTATGCATCTTGCTCTTCAAAACACATTCACAATCGATAATCAACAAATACTTGCTACAGTATCTTGCTACAGCGTTGCAGCTTCTCCTCAAGGGCTTTTCAGGCGCAGGCTCAACCACCTTAGCCAGACGTGGCCTACCAAAACAATTCCGTGACCATCTGTGGTGCGTCGAATGATTCGTTGGATGTGTCATGTTTTTTTGCTGGCAGTGTGTACACTTCCTACCAAGACCTTGCAAATAGTATTAATCATCGTATCATTACAGAATGCATCTATTGCTGGAGACAAGTTCTTTGCCTATGTCCTCCCAAGATTGTCAAGGACAAGCCACTTCCTTTGTCCCCAAGGATGATTGAGAGCTTGACAAGCCTCCCAATCACCAAATTGCAGAGGTCAATCAGCTGTTATGAAGAATTGAGAGAGAGTCCACATGTCATTTGCCTCAATATTTGGCTCCCCAGAGTCCGCAAAAAATGATATCAATCAGTGCAGGAACCTTTCCCTACTCTACATTGTTGCTGAAGCCTTGTGATTTCCAGCTGAGCAGTGGAGCTAGCTCTCCTGATTGACTTGAAAAGTTGTGTGTTTGCTAAACCTTTCAGATCTGCCAACCTCTTGAAGAGCTGCTTGTCCAACATCTGCCAGCGCTGATCAATTCTTCTCCTTGCATCCGCAGAGCGGGAGTCCTTGGACGATGCAACACTGAGCCAACAGAATCTGTGCACATGGGGTGGCAATGATTCATCCAAAGCAAAAGCTCGGCAACGATTTCCAGTTCTAGAGGCTCTTTGGAACACTGTCGAGCGGTTTCGGGCCTCAACCAGCCCAATGCACCCAGCCACGCCCGCATGGCCGTAGCCCATGACGGTGTGATGAAGAGCTCCCTTTGCTTGGCGGTGTAGCTGCTCATATCTTGATTGCTGTATCTTCTGTCTGATCTGGCTCCAGACTTGTGTAAGTTAGTCCTTGATGTGAGGTGTTCTGTCTAGGCCAGTAGGTTTGGTGGGTTGTTGCAGGCGCCCTGAGGTTTGGTGTAAACAGGAGGAACCAGAGTCTGCCGCAACGATGTCCTTTGGGGAAGAATAGAGGAATATAATATATATATACATACTGTATACCAGCCAATTGGTTGTACACTTGGGTTATCCCCTCTAAATCAACCAATACTAAATGATGGCCATGTATGGTCTGCCACTTCTTCCCTCATTCATGTCGGCATGTTCTTGAGCCGTTCAGCTGCATGACAAAAGCATAGAGGGTTGCCAGGCTGCGATGACAAAACATGCACACAGTGTCCCTCGCATTGTGAAGTCGTCATAAGTCGTCTATGGGCATTGCATTGGTGCAGTGGTGCTGGGCGCGCCATCTTGATCTCCGTAGGATTTCTTGCCTCGCCCAGCAGCATCATGTCATGCACAAAAAGCTGTTATGGTCAGAGTGGGCTTGAATTCCTAAAATGCCAGCTTTTGGTGCTGCAGCTATGGCAAGCCCGAGGTGATAGCTGCTCAACAAGGATCAGAATGACAAGGGATGCACAAGGATGAACAGCTGGACTAGCTGACAAGCTGGAGTGGTTTGCTGGAAAGCTGCTGATCGGCCTACCTCAATATTCAAGCGAATTTCAAGTTCAAAGGTGCGCGCGTCACCGCTGCTAAAATGCCTGCAAAACATGATCCTTTTTTCAAAGGCAAAGGCCTTGTTTGAGCTTGGCGCAACTTCCTAGGTCCTGCCCTCTAAAGCCCACTTCTCTGGCGGCTTAAGGGATGAAGTTGTCATCATATCCTTCTTCATTGTCAAATAGGATCACAGAATCACATATGTTGCCGAAAACTTCACAAGCCTCAGCAGGCTGACACATCGGCATATGTTGTACGCCGTTCTGCCAGCGGACACAGTTTCTGCATCCTTGCCTACTTGTAGGGCAACGCGCCTGAAAGTGTCACGCAGGCCTGTTGTTCAGCAGGCTCTCACCTTTTATGAGGCCTTTCCCAAGCGAAGCGTCAACACCATGCCTCTCACTAGCTCTGCTATCTTTAGGAGCTCGTGCGAGGAGCTCAAGTCGGCACGTGGGTTGGAAAACTGCAGTCACAGGCTCTCAGACTGCTAAAGCTAGGCATCAAATTCCATCCATTAGCAAATGATCTGTCGCACCATTCCAAGTAAGGGCTCAGAGTCTCGAAATGATCTCCTGCTGGAGATGGGAAGTGAACAAACAAATGGAAAAACAGCGACATGTGCCGAAAGAAACTGCACCACAACTCCATTCGAGACGGGCCTCCAGCTCAGCCTCGTCGTCACTGTCTGACATCTCGACATCTGGGCACACAAAGGCATCAGGAAACTTAACGTGAAGTATGCCAGGACATTCAGGACAGTCTAGACTCAAACTACCTTCCTCCTCAATTTTCCAGAATGGAAAGTGCCACCTAATGACCTTGTGACCTTGTGGGAACTTCAATGAAATTCGCAAAGCTGTAGTCTGCATTGGGTTTGCCCCAGCACTAGTAACAGGGCAATTTGCCTTGACCCCGTTTTTTTCACCCCACCCTTTTTTCCACCCTCCACCTTTTTTCACCCTTTTAACCGTTTTTTCACCCTCTACCTTTTTCTGTTCACCCTCTACCCTTTCTTTTTCACCCTTCATACTTTGGTCGGTGTGTTGGTTGGTTGGCTAGCTTGATGTTGATTGATTGCGTGGTACAATGATTGATGGATAATGGAGATGGTAAAGAAAAAATTGTTCGCTTGCTGGCTGGCTGGCTGGATGGATGGATGGATGGATGGATGGATGGATGCTCTGCAAATAAACGCGGGAGGGGGGGCTCGGGAGGGCGCAGCGCCCCCGCAATGCAAACCAAGGATCGAGCCCGAATAAAACCACAGTGCTGACCCAACAAGGCTATAATGTACACTAAGGCTAGTTCTGATGACACAGCAAAACATAAAATAAACATAACAAGGCAAAAAAAATATGCTGAAAAATGCACAGAAAACGCAAAAACAAGTCACCAAGGAAAGCGTTGGAATGCAAAAAACGACAAAACTAAATTGTCCGATGGTCTTTACACTTGCCTGCTTTGTGAGATCCTTTGCCTTTAGACTGCCTGCCCTTTTGCGTTGTTTGCGTTGTTTTTGGTGTCACGACCGCTCGTGGCTCGCACAGGCGTTCGTGTTCCGCAGTTCTAAAATGTTCCGTTTCAGTCGTGGTTTCGACGTGCTGTGGAAGTGACGGGGGGGTGACACGAAGTGCAATGCAGTGGAGTTCCGTTGGAAAGAACACTGTCTCGAGAGTGGTCCAACGGGAAAGCCAGTCAAGTGCAGCGTCTCGCGTGAAAGCAAGCGGCTGTTCCAGGCTTGAGCCAAATGCGTCAGTCATGTACACATATATGAGAGGCGAGACCATACAGAGGTGGGTAGTAAGCAAAAGCAAACACAGGGGGCGCTGGGGGCAGGGCGACGGGGGCCAACTACGTCGAGACTTGTTGCGTTCGAGGGCCAAGGTACACTGACCGCAGGCTTTGAAGCTCAATGCGTTCTTTTTCGTTGTTGTGTGTCTCTGTGGGATTAATTAGGTCTCGTCTCGCCGCGCTGGACATTTGTTTAGACCTTGACCGGCGGGCGTTAGATGTCTCGAGGAGTGCGGGAAATTTTTGTGGTTGCGTTGGCTCACTGGCGCGGTGAAAACTGATGATGCAACTTTTTCGAGGTTGGAGGGAATGGTGCGCTTGTGAATCCCAATGTAAGGTTGGAAATATGCAGAAAAATGACTTGAGACAAAGATCTGCGTCTACGAAACACTGAAAAGTACCATGAATGGATCCACGATAACAAAAGTGCCACACCCGCGACTGCGCGAGTCATTCAGGGTCGCGTTACCTTGTTTTTGCATTGTTTGTGCGTTTCCTTGCAAAACCGCCTTTAACAAAACGCACAACCAACACACAAAAATATCGCCCGGAAAAAACGCACAAACATCACCAAAAAACACACACACACACAAATAAAGGTTGTGAAATTTGGTTGCGCATGTGCTTCCTTTGCGCGTTTTTGTTTGCTTTTGCTTTGCGTGTTAAAACTGTTGTATATATTGTTGTTTTTTCGGCTTCCTTGTGCCAATTTTTTGTTTTTGATACGCACTCTTTTTGACCAGCTGCCTTGTCTGCATGTTTGATGCTTTTTTGCATTATGAATCCTTGAGATTTCAGAGTTAGGCTGTAAGGCACATCATAACAATAAGGTGCTTTGCGCAATCCACTCACCAGCTTTTTGCTAAAGAAAGTGCGTTTGGACGCAAGCGGTGTCTTGCCCACCAGTTGATTTCAACACCACCTCAAAAACTCGGCGCAAAATGGAAATCACCACTTGCTTCTCAAAAGTTTGCAAGCGTGGAGGGTTCGGGCCCCCACGGCTCCGAAGGAGAACGGCCAGACAGACAGCTGCTGCAGTAAGGCAATCGCGGCGTTGGTCTTTTGCGGCGCCCTTCACCGGCGCGATTTAGTCCTCTGCTGCTCTGCTGAATCCTTTCTGGCCTTCCGGTCTATCGCTGTCTCCCAGGGACCTCACCACTTGTCGCGCGGTCGCTTGGTTCCAAGCCCCGTTCTGCGGAAAGCTGGGCATAGCAACGATGCCCCCCTCACCAGCGACCAGCGTTGCATATCCGTCCGTCACCTTCAGCTTGCTGATGGCCACGCAACGGGGGCTAGCGCATGGAATTTGTCCTACCCACAGCCAACAGCCAAGCGCGGACTCTTCTAGCTGCGACTCCAGGCCTCCATGAGCGCCAACACGGGGTAGACGCTCGCGTCAACGTGGACTTGCTTGCCACTGAACTCATCGTTTCCCAGCAGGCAACCAAAGCAGGCAACGGCTCCTTTTGCGCCCCTTTCCAATCTCGACCGCTTGTTCAAACCAGCCCTCCTCACCTCTTCAAGCATCCTGACCTCTTCAAGCATGGCCTCATTTGGGTTGCCATGCTCTTCCGGGTCCAGCTGATCTCACCTGCCTTCAAACTGACAGATTCGGCTCCAGGCGCAAATGCCAGACCAGACTTGCGTGGGGAACAAGGTGCGGTTTCCATGCTTTGTCTTGGAATGGATAACATATTCCGAGTTGTGGCTTTGTCATATCACCTTGGACATGACCTGCCATCCTACCCGGCAACACCTGGCGAATCTATGATGGTGATGAACCGCCACTGCAGCGCTTTGCAAGACTTCCTGTGTGCCTCATCCACGCATGGAAGAGCAGAAGTTCAGCACGAGCTCACTGGCCCAACTGCTGAGGCTTGGCTGCAAATAACCAGAATCATGGCGAGGAACATCCTCCGCGAGCCGGCTTTTCCTGTGTGACTTCGATTGGCCTCCAACACTTGCCAACACGATGGTACCCGCCAGCCAGACATTAGGCTGGCCAAAGATGCATAAAGGGATCCGAAATAAAGTTAGCACTTTTCCTTTTGATTTAAATTAGGTTTCGTTTTTGTGTTTTTCTTTGGTTTTATTCTATTTTATTTGTTTCAAAATGAAAAAGTGAAGCCACCAAACCCAAAATAAAGCTAATGGATTTTCATGAAGCCACCAAACCCTAAATAAAGTCTACCCTAAATAAAGCTAATCGATTTTCTGAAGCCACCAAACCCATTTCAATTGAGTTTCATTCAAAATCAGTTCCAATTCAATTCAATTCCAATTCAATTGAGTTTAAATTCTAATCAATTCCAATTGAATTTAGATCATTAAAATAAAGGTGGTTTAGTATTCAAATTCATTGACTAATTGTAATTGAACTTGAGTTGAAGTTGAATTCAATTGAATTGAAACTGAATTTAAATTCAAATTTTAATTTCAATACAAATTCAATTCCCAATTAGTCAATTGATTTGAATACTAACTCAGCTTTTTTTAGTTTAATTTTAATAAGGGATCATTTCATTACTCATTTAAACTATCTTGTCTTAGTTAGTAAGGGATATCATTTCATGTCTAATTAAAAATTCTTTCTTGGAACCTGGGATTGACTTTATTGTTGGTCTTCAAAAATTTTGAGATTTGCCACCCCATTTTGCTAATCAGAGGTCAGCATTATGTTCGACAGTGCGCCGTGCGCGTTCATTTGATGCTCTGTCGACATCAGCAGCTTGGAGCCTGCGAAGCAACTTCACAATTGGCTATGCTGCTTGATGTCTTCGATGGTAGATGGCACTTCGGTGCGCCAGAGGACTGATGGCCGTCGGCAAAAAACAAGAAAATATACTAGCGTTGGCCCCCAAACAGTTTGTTTGGTCCAGGTCCAAATCCAGACAAGTGTAAAATCATGCAGCCACAGCACCCACAAACGACTGGAGACAGTGGGACACAAATTGGATACAACTGTAAAAATTATGCGGCCAGA